AACATTTACCACACTACACATAACCGGTGGTTGGTATATGTACATCAGATTAATCAACATTTACCACACTACATATAACTGGTGGTTGGTATATGTATATCAGATAATCAACATTTACCACACTACATATAACTGGTGGTTGGTATATGTATATCAGATAATCAACATTTACCACACTACACACATATATGTATGTATATCAGGTAATCGAAGTTTTCGTAAGTGGGTATATAGACTGAAAACTTGTCTTTGATTATCTAGTGGCAGGACATTTTGCTGATTCTTTAATCACCCGAAAGTGGACTGTTCTCTCAGTACGAAGGTTGATGAACAGTATAGGTCTCATTGGACCAGCCATTTTTCTCCTGTGCTTTTGTGCAGTCAACAACTTACTGTTTGCAGTGATGTAAGTATTGTCGATGTTACGTACATTGTTGCTGTTCTAGTTTCAATAACTTTTAGGTTTATGTTCGTGAATTTGTTGAAATACAGTTTGTAATATTTTAAATAGACTTTTTGGTGTAGTTAAAATGATACTCTTTAGTTTTATGAGATTTATTCTGGTGACTTAAAATTTTTGTAAATTTTAAACTTAGTTTTTAATCTTAAGAAAAGGGGTATGATTCACTCAAGTGCTCACTGGTTGAAGAAATTGTGGAATCAATTATAAGAGGAAACAGAATCAGTCATTAAAAAAAGTAGAAAAATGAAGGTTTCAACCAATTAATATATAGTGCTTAACTTGAACCTTTCTTAAGCATGGCCAGGTGGTTAGGGGTGCTCGACTCACAGTCTTAGAGTCGTGAGTTCAAATCACCGTCCCACCAAACGTGCTCGCCCCTTTCAGCCGTGGGAGCGTTATAATGTGACGATCAATCCTACTATTCGTTGGTAAATGAGTAGCCCAAGAGTTAAATTAGGTACCTCTATTGCAGATAGCCCTCGTTTAGCTTTGCATTAAATTAAAACAAACAAACAATTAATTCTTAAGCATAAGGTCTAGAAACTCCAAACAAATCCCATAGAAAACCAAATACCAATATTAACGAGCAATCAGAGAGATTGAATACCTTTACCCTGCCGCAGCTTTTCAAGATTGCATGCATTTATATTGTATGACATAAAATTTCACTTTCGAAAACTCAGATCCAGAATGATCAACAATTTGGATCATTTTTTGTGGTGTGATGATGGTACAAATCCGAAAGCTTCGAAAATACCCTATCTCTCCATTATAAAAAATGCTTCAAAGTGATCCGGATGCGAACCAAATTTGGCGAAGACTGTCCCATACTGACTTCCCATCTTGTATAAAATTTTCGTATACATCGATCTATTAGTTTTCGAGATACGTGAGCAGAAACGCACACACACACACATGAACCAGATTGCAATACCTTTGCAAGGCAAGTAGCAATGTGATGCATACACTGGTCTTGGTCAGTTAGTTTCACCCGATTTTTAGATAGAGAAAATTACAAAAAAACTACAAATGGACGATTATTGTTGGAACAAATTAGTCCTAACATTTCTCCAATAGGCAAGTTACTTATATTTTTTCAATCAAGCTGGAACTAAATATTAAACTGCTTGGGGGGTGTTTTTTGCATCTTCAGAAAGATTGGAGTTAATTCCATTAAAAATAAACACATTTCCAGCCATCGTTTACATGACTTTTTGTGAACAATATCAGTTCTTCATTGTTTTTTTATTGTGTATCTAAGACAGGAAATGGGTTCAGTTTAACTGCTAGTTTGAGCTGTTCTAATTTATAATTATAGGTTCTGTTAAGCTAAGGGTTAAATATGGGTTATGATTACATGTGTTCTTTTTTTGCACGGTATAATTTTAAAGTTTATTTACATGTTTTATAAAACGAACACGTTTTTTGATACTTCTTTCATACCATCAACATTTTTTTATCTTCACCTTTTTTGTATTCAGTTTCAAAAATTGTTTTCTTCAGTCTTTTAAGATAAAATGGTATTTTATTCGTAACTTTGTTTAATTCAAAATGGAGTTTATTACTAGCATTTCTATTACTGTAAATAAAATAACGACTTATATCTCCAGAATGTATCTTTATTACTTCAATATTTACTATTACAGCTTTGTTAGAAGCCATCGATAACTTACAAGTTCACTAGAATAAGTTAAAACAAAATTGGAACACCATCACAAGTTAATTGAATATTGTCTAAAAGGTTTGATATTTTCTTTAATATGATCTGAACTTTTTAGACACGCATCAATGTTCGATTAACTGATGGTTGTGTTCCAATTGAGTTTTAACTGGAATAGGGAACTTTGTAGGTTATCGATAGCTTCTGAGAAAGCTTTAATAGCGAGTTATTGAGCTAATAAAGATGCATTCTGGAGATACAGGTCATTATTTTATACCCTCTAATATGAATAAACATATGTTTTATTTAGCTCTTGTAAGAACTGCATTACTTTATATATAATTTTTCAATAAATAAATAACATTAGTTTAGTATTTTTCCTTCGTTACTAGAGTGTGAAAATTATATTACCATTAATAGAGTTGTTTAAACA